CACCCTTCCCAGGCTGCTCCCAGGATTTTCAGTTTGCATGAAGAGTTCAGGGAAGCGCTGCTGCTGCATGTGCGGCTGCCGAGCCCGGCGAGCAGCGCTTCCAGCCGTCGTTAGGAGGAAGCAAAGCACCGCGCTCCGGGTGCGGCAGCGCCGGGCGCCGCCTCTCCTCCTCTTCCTCCCCCTCTGCCCCGACACGTGTGACCAACTAAGCGACAGGAGACCCTGGGGGATGCCTTGAAGCTGGCACAGAAGGTACCCAGTCTTTCCTGCCCCCTTTTGTCAAGCCGGAGGGGGCGCCCCGCAGTGAAGCAAACGCTTCCAGTCGCACATGACTGTGCTCAAGCCACTGACGTGCCAAAGCCGCGACGATCATCTGGGCTCAGGATGCTGCTGCTGCTGCTTATGTATGACACAAGGAGGCACAATGGCCTCCTCCAGCATCCCTCAAGTTTGCAGAGGCTCCCGTTTGAGAGCAGCCCCTGCTCTTCGCTGTGGTCGTGCAAGCTCTGGAGCACTCCCTGCACTGACCTGGAGCGGGTCCAGGGCTGTGTGGAAGCTCGGGGCCAGCTCTATCACTCATGCACGCACGCATGCACAGAGCCACGTCTTTTCTCCGGTGAACTCTGCTGGCACTCGGCAGGAATTTCATTTGGATCAACTACTTAATATTCTCTCTCCTTCCTTAGAAACCAGGCTGCTGAAAAATCCTTCCAGCCAAGGCCCCTCCTTTCCTGTTTGAACCACCCCATCCCTTCCTCCCCCGTACACACACACCACAGAAACCCAGCTCTCTTGCTGGCACCTGATGGATTTCACTCTCCGTCTATTTTTTTTTTTCTTAAATATATTGTTATTGAAACTCCAGATCAAAAGAAAAAATGGAGATTTTCCTGTTTTGTGTCTGAGGTTTTGCAGGCCTGTTGATACTAGCTTTCACCTTGACAGCTCGGAGCTGCTTTGCACAATGGACGTGCGGCCCGCACCAGCCGGGTCCCTCCCGCAGCGACATGTGCACAAGGCAGCGCATCCCTGCTCCCATGACCCCTGCCCTCACCCTCACCCCGGAGCTCGGCATGGAGCTGCCCACCTGCTCCCCACATCCCCTCTGCTCACCCCTGAAGCCCCACATCCCCAAATGCAGAGCAGGGGAGTACAGGAAGGGGGAATGGGGTGGGGGAAAATATGTTGGGGAGCAACAAAGGACAGCACCAAACACAAGCTGCTGCAGGAAATCTGTGCTCGGCAGCACTCCTCCTCCTCCACCTTTCAGCTGACGCTGCAAAGATGATTTTCTTAGGGCTAATTCTGCAAACCCTCCCCTTTCCCCTCCTGGTTATCGTTGGCTCACGGTTTCATAAGGAAACTTGCCAAGTCTTGCTCGCTTTCTAGAAAGAGGGCAGGAATGAGAGAGAAGGAAATATTTGACAACCTTTGTTTTTCCATGAGCGTTTTTAGGGCAGCAGGCTCCAATCTGTGCCCTCCGCTCCCTGGTGCTCAGCCTGACCTTGCTGTCTCAGCAGGAGGAAGTCTGGCAGGAGCACAGGGGAGAAAAATGGAAAGACATGGTATATTTCAAAGGAAACCTAAACAAAACAGAGAAAACCCAGAATCCTGCAGCCTGTGCCATAAATGAAGCTCATTCATGTTTTTTTTACCAGGAACAGTCAATTGCAGACGTGATGTTTGGCTTTAAGTAAAGGACAGTGTCTGACTGTTGTGGGAGGAAGGACTACAGGGACCATCCTGTCAGTACCTACATATCCATCTACTTAAAACAAGTCCTACTAAGGCTCTTTAATCCCACACTTGCTTTCATTTCAGACCTCTGAACAAACCAGGAGGACATTCTGCTTGTTACCTCTGGCATTCCTCAGTACCACTGCCCAGCATACATATGAAGAAACTGAGGCATGGTACTGCAAGCATCTTGTCCCCAGGCAAGACATCTGCTCTACAGGAGAGCTAAGCCTGGCGTCCCAGGCTCTGGCTCTGGCAGCACTGCTCAATGCATTTCTACCTTGTCCATAAGGAGGAAAGCATCTGCGATTTTAAACTTGGCCAGCACAAGGGCAGAAATAGATAGAAATGCAGTTTGATCTAGTCCTCACCACTGTCACATAGTTTATTTTGCAGAGTGCTGATTTTTTCTCAGCAGTTCTCAGCTCAGGGCCAATTTTGGTCATTGATAGATGGCAGGGCCAGGCCAGCTTCCCCAGTGCACGATCCCTGTGCTGCTGGCCAAACTGGCAGAGGCCAGAAAGTTCAAGTCAAACTTAATTTCTTTTCTTGCCCTGTTGCTTAGAAACATGCCTATGAAAATATACTTTGTTCTCACACACTACCAGTCGAATGCCAAGTGACTTTTTTTTCCCCTCTCCCATCCTCAGGAATTCCTGATTTATTTTTTATTTCTATTTGCAATTGCATAAATCTCAAGAGGAGCCTGCTGGTCTCCTGTGGCTTCTTGCAGCAGCCTTTCCAATCCAGGCTCATCTGCTGTCTGCGAACAAAACCTGCCGAAAAGAGGCCCCTGCGGCACTTGGGGAGTCCAAACTGGAAGTGCAGGTAGTGCCACAGGGTTGGTTTGCACGACAAACCTGCCACCGCCTTCCTGTCCCTCTCCTTGCTCATTCAATGGGTGTTGAATCCCAAGAAAATCAAAAGCAGTGGAATTACAAGGGCCCCGGCTAAAAGTTTTCACACAAAGCAGCTGCTAAAGGGCCAGTTTCCTTGGGAGGTGCGAGGCAGGTGGAACGGAAGGACATTCATGCCGGGAGCCAAGCGCCAAAGCTTTTTCAGGTGCCTGAATGGGGCACCCTCAGCACAGGCACAGGGATGGGCCCTGCTCTCCTGCTGGGCTCCAGCTGCATGGCTTTGCCTTCCCAGCCACACTACTGGCCCTGGCCACGCACACACACGTGCAGAGTAAATAAACACCAGGATGACGCACTCTGGGATACTTGGCTATCTCTGCTGACAGTGGTTACTGCCCAGCTTGCTGGGCTCCCCAGCAGGAACGTGGCTCCTGGCCTCACCCTCTGCTCCCTGTGCAGGTCAGCTCCCAACCCTCCTATCTGACAGCTGCCCTTCAAAAAAACAAGCTCAGCTTTGCTGTTTCTAGCTGATTAAAGGGTGTTTGGACATCTGATGTCATTCGAGGGAGGGGGGGGAAGTTATTACACACAGAATTTGGTTTTGCTCTGAAGGATGGTGCGTAGCAACGCAACCACTGCCTGCAAGCAGCAAAGGGGAAAAATAATAAAAGCATCACAATTTATTAGGTGCTAGGAAGGAGAAACGGATTCCCGTTGCATGGGTCTAAGCAGACGCTTGCTAACAAGTAGAAATGACTGTTTCATGGACCAAAAAAGTGAGGGTTTCTAGTTGTTGTTTTTTTTTTTTTTTTTTTTTTTTTTTTTTTTTTTTTTTTTTGCCAAGTGGTCTCCTGGACATGCAGACACCCTCCCTACCTCCCTTCACACCGTGGCAGAAATACAGATGTACTTGGAAGAATACAGGGAATCTGTCCTCACATGAGCTACAGGATCCAGAAATGGGAGTGAAATGAGTGTCAAAATGAAGGAGCACTTTCTTTCATGCTTTTGTCATGTGCAAGGTACAAACATTTCAGAAGCTTGGCCTTGCACTGGTGCTGCCATGCTCGCCTTCATGCTTGCTTTTAACCTGTTCTTACCCATTATTAGCCACACCGCCGTTATTTTTGCAAACCCATATCCTGTCTCTAATGCACCTGCTCTCTTCATCTCCCTGAGCTAAATCCCATCGCCCAACAAAGATGTCCAGCAGCTGGCAGACAGAAAGAACAGGCTGTAGTGAGATTCCAAGGAGGAAGTGTGAGGCAGAGCAACAAACCTGGGGGTGGCGGAGACTTTGGGAACGGGCTGCTGGTTGAAAGGAAATGCCCTGCTGCTCTCCTCTGTACTTCAATCTGCAGAGATCAGCTCGGGCCCCAGAGCAAGGTGATAGAAAGTTGTCAAGGAGAGGGCTGAAGACAGGGGTGCAGGAAAGATGTAAAGGATGCAACGGGGAAAGGACTGGGATGCAGTTGTGACTAAAAGGGTGCATCTGGGAAGTGGGGAAAGAAAACCCTTCCACTGGAGATGGGACAATCAAGAGGCGGTGATGGAAGGCAGTGTGGGGGCTGTGAGATGATGCAACAGGAGGTTTGACCAGAGCACAGATGGAAGGAAGGATGGGAAAAGTGGCAGGGGGCATGGAAGAACAGCTAGGGGGATGGAAAAGTACCCACAAAGACGGAAAAGCAACTGTGGGTGTGGGTGGAACAACATCCAGAAAGATGTGAAAGTAGCTGGAAAGGTGGAAAAGCAATAGGGGGGATGAAAGAGCAGCGGGAAAAGTGGTTGTGGAGAAGCAGACAGAAATGATGGAAAAGCAACCGGGGGCTTGGAAAAGTTGCTCTTGGAGGGGGTGGGGAGGAGAGAGAATGGAGAAATAGCTAGAGAGATGGAGCAGCAGCCAGGGTGTGTAATTGTGTGATAGAAAGAGAAAAGTCAGGCAGAAAGGCAGAAAAGTAGCCACAAAGATGGAAAAGCAGCTGGTGGTGGTGCAGGGGAATGGAGGAGCCGGGAAGGCGAAAAAGCACACGGCGGGGGAGGGGGGGAGGGGGGATGGAAAACCGGGCGGAAAGATGGAAAAGTAGCCGGGAAGGCGGCAGAGTAAGTGGGAGCATGGAAAAGCACCTGGGAAGATGGAAAAGCAGCCGGCGGGATGGGAAAGCAGTGGCGGGGGCAGGGAAGAGCAGCCAGTGGGAGGGAGCAGAAAAGCAAGCGGAAAGATGGAAAGGGAGCCGGAAAGACGGAAAAGCAAGCGGAGGGTCATGGAAGAGCACCCGGAACGAGGGAAAACGCAGCCGGGAGCCGGCGGTGGGGGTGGAAAAAGCAGGCGGAAAGATGGAAAAGGAGCCGGCAGGGCGGATAAGCATCCGGGAGAGCTGCGGATGGAGGATCGGGGTCACTCACCGGCCTTGGCTTGCTCGCGGTAGCTCTTCTCGCTGAGGCAGACGGCGGTGCCGTGGAGCAGGGCGTGCAGC